TCCATAAAAATGTCATCTGAGCAGAGCTTTGAACATCTAGCAGCAGAACTGCTTATAAAGCCACCAAATGTACTGTACTGATATGCCTAAATGATCTTCTAATAAAAGCCAATTTCAAATGAGTAAGAAAAACAAGCCTACTATAAAAAAGCAAGCAATGTTCATAGACAAAACCTGAATTCAAAGGAAAGATGGGTGGGCATAAATTATGTAAGTGTTTATAGGAAATAACACATGGATTTTTTAGTAAAAATTAGAATGGAATTTCATTTGTTTAAGAAACTGGGGGGAGGAAGGAGAGAGGGAGATATTAGGCTTTCTCCTGAGGTAGCACAAAGCATAACTGAATACATCATTGCTCTCTTACATTTAACATAAATAAGATATTGAGACTTGCAGTAAGAAGTCAGAAGCATTGCCTGTAACCAACTGCACTGTGACATTCTCATTCATCTGCTGAGCCTGAAGTCCCACTGCAGCTGAAGACTTTGATGACTCAGGACTTCCAAACCCTCCCCCTGAGCACGCTGCTAGTGGACACCACAATGCACAAGCTCCTAACTCATTCTTCACCCACCCCTCTCTGCCACCAGTAATCACTTTCTTTACCAGCATGCTGTCCTTCAGCCACAGAAGTTGTGCATTAAAATCAGAGCCTTGCTAACCATCTCTGTCAGTTCAGCTGGGTATGGAAGATCCACTCATTCAGTTGCACCCACTGGAGCAGTTCCTCATTCTGGGTACTGTGCATTCTAAACAACTGTGAGGTCTCCATGAAAGAAGCATGTTCAAGTGGTATGTCCTTGTTGTTTGTGACTGGGCAAAAGTGTCAGTGTATGTGTGTTTTGGGTAACATTGTGAATATACATATATATATATATATATATATATATATATCTGCATCAGCATATATCCAAACATCTGAGGGTATAAGAGCTGCATGGAACTGAATTTATCATTTTCCTCTTGAAGTACATAATATAGACAAATAGCTACAGTTAATATATAGCATTTTATAAAATAAATCATTGTATTCGTGTAGAGGAACTTAACAGGACAATAGGGCAGGCCTCTTGCACATCAGTTGGGATGAGAGGGGGGAACACTGTGTTCTTTCTCTGCACAAAAACAAGTTAGAAAATAAATCTGTCTGGAAAAATTATCTCAGGTTTTGCCAAGGGAAGGGGAGTTAGGGAAGTTTGAGGTTTCTTATCAAGAAAAACTGACAGCAAGCCTTCATATTAGACTGTATATGTCTATTCACTAAGATTTTACAGGAATGAGAAAAGTATTCTTACCAAGAAAGTTAAGTTTAAATGAAATGTTGTTTCTCAAGAATGATTCTAAAGAAGATGTGAAGTTTTCATCAGTGGTTCTAAGAAAACAATTTATAGTGCCTTAAGTGAAATAAGGGTAAATGGCATTTCATTGCAATGTGCTGCGATGGCCTATGTGACTTGAACAGTACAAATGAGATTTCCTGGGATTTTGTTTTCCCTTAGAAAGGAAAACAGGAAGGAGGATTTTTACACAGTGATGAGGCATAAGGCAAGAAATGGACATATAAATAACTGTTAGCTAAGTGTAAAGGATCCCTGAAGAAAGGGAAGAAACCCAGGAGATGTGCACATCAAATAAAAATGGAGAATATGGCTATATTTCAGCTCAAACCAATATTCCCTTTTCGGGAATCATCCCCTGTGGCTCACTGCTGACAATCCATAGATAGCATATGAGTGAGATAAGTTCATAAGATAAACAGGGATGTTCCACGGCAAATAAATTTGTTTCCACTGAGATAATTATTCTTACCATGTGTCACTGCTCTCATGGCATGAAGAGGACAGGTGATGACATCCTATAAAATGCAATTTTTATTCCTATAAAAATATATCTCGATGTCAGCATTGAGATATATAACTCATTCAGCCCTCACGAATTTTTTTTGCTCTGAAGCTATGAGTGTGTTTTTGCTTTTATTGTTGTTCTTGTTTCTCGTCTTTTTTTTAAAAATGCTGTCATCAACTGTGCAATACTCTTAAGACACTAGAGGGAAAAAAATGGGACTGTCATTATCTTATGCTACCTGATCCTATGTAAGGATTACACATGTTATTATGTGGGATAGCTGAATATAACTGTTTGACTTGAATTTTTATAAGGTTATCATCTGCATCATATAATCTCTATGAAATACCTGTATCCTCAAATCAAAACACTCTCCCAAACCTCATGTCTTTTCAGACCTAACCTAGGCAACAACAAGAAATCACAAGCCTTTGTACCAACAAATAATTTTTCCAACTATAATTCATTAGTACCTTATTCCAAAAGCATATGAATACTTACAAGATGGTTAATCCTCATTAAAAACTAAGATTACATGACATAATTACATGTAAATAAGAAAAATGAATTAAACTCTTACCCTTTCCTATGTCGGGCACTAGTTGTGAATCATATATACAATTAGAGTTATATTGCTAAGCTAAAAATATTGGTAAAGATCTGAAAATGACAAACAGTGCCTTTTAAATTAATGTCTTATTAGTTGAGTGAAGTACACTGACAAAGAATAATTTATGCTTATTCAGACTGCACTCGACATCTTCAGGTGTTTCCAAATGAGCTCACAGAAGAGTGATTAAATGCATCTGATAACAAGCCACACATTGCTGAAATTACTTACCGCCTCATTTTATGATTAATTAAACATGTAGATTAAAGTTGCAAAAGAATTTAGATTAATGAGCAAGTTAAGTCTTGCTGATATAAGTGAACTGGGAATTGGATGCTCTGTGGAACTTTATAAACATGCATTTTGTAATGAATAAGACAAGACTACATGCAGAATCGTGGCCACCAGGGCCTTTTGACGATGCAGTCTTTTTTAACATGGTTTGACAGCTTTCAAATAACATTCTTCTATAGGCTTTAAACTTTGTGCTTTGCTGTAAAACACAAGACTACATAACTCATGTACCAAGAGTACGATTATTTTCGAGCTCTCCAAGGTAATGACCCCCTGTAGCAGCAGCTGTTCAGAAAAAATTACAAGCTCAATTGTTATTATAATCAGAGATAGTTTTGTAGTTAAAAGCAGTTATGCAACTTGTAAAATTATATGACACCTCATCAGTACCTTCTCTTCAACACTCCTTCCTCCAAAAGTAAAACCATCCCCAAAAAGTCATAGCTTTCCAGAGGACTTATTAACAAAGTAGGGTGCTCAGTCATTCATAAAATATTCAAAACCATTTATTAGTGAGGTTTCTACTAGGAAAGGTAATATTTAAATTTATGATGACTTATCAGCTCCAAGATTGTGTCAAAATATCTGCTGGGGTTTGCTGAGTATCCAATTTTTCTCTTAAGATCAGCTTTACCTAATCAGAGTAGTTTAGACTGTGTCAAAAGCCAAGTTGGACTGTATGGTTTTCCAGGGCAAGAGAAATTCAGGTTGTTCACAAAGATGTAGTGCATTCTCCTTTGCAAGGGATACAGAAGTGGCAAGAAATTGAGCCTAAGTTACCAAACAAGCTTTTGGTTTAAAACCTATTCCATTTTTATTACGAAGTTTGTGGCACAATACCATTTATTACTACCATAGCATAATGAAAGCATTCCTGCAAATTCTTTGAATGGATCCAATCTGCTGTCTAAAATATATCTCTACTTCTTTTCTACTCTACTTATTTTCAGACCTTATGTATAATTCATTTCTTGGCAAGAGTGAGATTTTTATAGTGTAAAATTTTTTCCTTTTAATTCAGATTTTTTACACTCTAAAGAATTACCAAGAAAACTACAGAATTTTTTACATAAGGATGAAAAGGAGCTGCTTCATGACACAGGTGGCAAATTATCATCATTAACCCCACATATTTATCATGTGGACATAATTGCCCATTTGAAGATGTGAATGAAAATATAATATTGAGACATAAGCCTGACTATATTGAAATTTATTAAAAGCTTATAAGCATCCAAAATAGTGTCCATTCGATTTGTTTATTTCCTTCCAGTTTTAAGTCAAAGTGTTTCACCAGATAGCAACAAAGACCCAATGCAGCCAAAAATAAAATAAAAATAAATAAATAAATGGCCCTTTTTTAAAAAAAGCTTAATTTATAAGCTTTTTCCCCTTGCAGTTCAACTTGACTATAATAGTTAGGATTTCTAGGTAGAAATATGGACCCAAATACTTCAAGGACCAAATAATATCCTTTTTCTTCACATGAAAATTTAAATTCTTCATTTATACCCTTTAAAAGAAGAAATCTTACAACAAAGTGGTTATATTAGCCTGAAAGAGGCTAGTTTAGAGATCTAAAAATAATTCTTTTGTGATCATAAAATGTATTGGGGTATGTGCGAGAAGGACATAGATGATTCAGACAGCTCAACAAGCCACCAAATTTTAAGGAGCAAGATCTTTCCACTTCAGTCATTGCCGTATTATTTCTAGGCCCCACATATTAAGAGGTGTGTCCTGGAGTTACTAATAATTAAATAAAATTGTGTCACTCCTGTGGCATTTTATTACAAAAAGATACATTTATTTCCCCACGAAAGCAATATTTGTAAAATAACTTTTAAGTCCTAAATACTGAATATACTTAGCTATTACATGTATTATTATTAGCATGTTTTAAATTTTATGACAAATGCTTTATATAGTTTACCTGCATAGATTATGTAAATTTACTGGTTATTTAAAGTTAAGAGTTACATGTTTAGCTGAAATACCAAAAAAGGTACTTCACTCTGAAACTATGAATAAATGGGCAATTTAAAATATCACAAATCAGCCATAATGCACTATAAGAATTCTTATGCATTATTTCATTAGATCAAGATGGTAATTTATTGTAAAGCGTTTTTTTAAATTTCACAGCACATAGTCATGTGGGCTATGAACCTTGCATTTCTAAGAAGTGACTAATATTTTCTTCATTTCATCTATAGTTTGAAAGAAAGAAAAGTATAAAAATACTCACCAGAAACTAATATTAGATGACTAAGCTCATTTTCACATGTGATTGGGCCCAGGTTTGTCAAGATGAACTATGAATGCATTAATATCCACAATACTGCCAAATGCTGAATTATTAATATTGTCAGCTCCTTGGTTTCAGTTCATGCCCTGTTGAGGAGTTTTGTGAGATTCATCAAAACTCAGCCTCTCAACATGTTTACAAGTATCATGGAGGCAACACGTCTTAAATTAAAATAAGGTGACTTTCAACCAAGCAAACTGTCATCAAGGCCAGTCTAAGATTCATAAATGCAAAGAACCAGTCTATAGTGAAGACAGCAGATGAAGTCAGGTGCTACCACATGCCAGATCCTTGCCAACTCAGCACCCAGCAGTTGAGATACTAGGTAGATGACTAACGGTGGTTCTTCACTTGGCAGGATCAGCAGCATTATGCACTATACCTATGAGTTGTATATGTCAATGCAAGTATTCAAGAACCAAAAACAGTGCTGAAAATTGGCTCCAAAACTGCTATGGCTTATCAATTTTTATTCTATTGACTATGCAAATTTTTCAGTTCTCTAAACCAAGGACAGAGTTACTTAACTGGACGAGTCCTGAATTTTTCCTTCAGTGAAAAAAGTAAAAGATTACTCTGTTTTAGTTATGCTAGAACTCCTTTTAAAATCTCCATGTATCCAAAATATTTTTGTAAGTGCACATGAACAATGTTTTTTTATAAACCAATTGGAAATTTAAAGTATGATTACTTTTTAAAAGTCAAAAGTTTCTAAACTTTACTCTGTACCTTGTATTATATGATTTCCATGATGGTAAATTAATATCAAAACTGATTTTATTCATAAAACAAATAATTTAAAAGAATACAAGTAGTATCCAGACTTGAAAAATTTTAGGATTTCTGATACTCATCTTTCCAATCTTTCATTCAGTAGATATATTCCCTATAAATAGAAACATTTCTGAAAAATATTGAATTGTGGTAGTAAAATTGTTTCATTTGTATGTAAAGTTTAGCCAATAATCCTCATAGTTATAAACATAAGTTAAAACTAGAAGATGTAAAGAAACTGGGTGTTAAAATTACTTAGGTCTTAGTATTAGACCACAAAAATGCAATGCAATCCTCATTTGCCACGGAAATAGGAAATAAATGGGAACATTAGTTATACTCATAAATTATATATTATACCTGGGCTCTTATACAAAGTGATGAGGGGTCACAAAGTCCTTCTTGAAGCATTTTTCTTTCCTCATCAGAAGATATAGAATGTCTAAAAAGAAGAAACTAATAGTTATTGGACCCACTATCTGCAACATAAAATAAATTTACTCTATGCATCATATAATCTTCCCAACAACCACGCCCATTTTATAGATGAGGGAATTGAGTCTCAGACAGGCTAGGTAATTTTCCAGAGTTACACCAGTGACAGAGATAAAACTGAAGCCCTACTGAACCCAGCTCCAAGGTCCATCTGTTCTTTCTGTTATATTATGCTTATTTATCACCTATAGTACTTTTTGTGTTTATGCTACTCTCCACTACCTAGAATTTCTTTCTGCTTCTTCTCAGTTAATCCATCCCTACCACTTCCTTCCAAGGTTCACAAGTATACTCCAAAAAGTATACTGTGTTCTCTCAGCACTTTGTTTAAAAGCCTCTATTACAACAATTCAAATTACACTGATTCACACAATACACATTTATGAAATGTTACCAACGTTACCACCTATATCCAGCAAGGTGATGAAGGTATCACAAAATGGTTGCATTGACATACTACAATATGTCTTTCCTAGTCTCCATTCTATACTCCTCTATCCTCTCTCACCTTCACAATAACTTTAGAAGTAGTAGTAGTAGTAGTATTTACTAGTATGATTGTCATTATCATTATCATTATTATATACTATGAACCTCAACCAACCACCTTTTGCTCTCATGCTGCTCTCTGGAACTCCTCTCCACTTTCATTCTGCTCAAAGGTTCTCATCCACTAAACCATCTCTCTTTCCTTCCCAATCAAAAATTCTACTCTTGAATATTTCATAAAAGGTGTGAGATACTCTCAATTATTCATTTATGCAACAAAGATCTAAGCATTTACTATATGCTGGAAACTAATGTTAGATAAACGAGATAGATCTTATTTGTCTAAGAGCTTACAATCTACCACAAAATAAAAACAAGTAAACCAAAATTTATAATGTAGATCCATGTCATCATGAAAGTATGTAAAAAAAAGTGATGTGAGTACAAAGAATAAAGAGTAATAATTCATCTGGAAGCCTTCATATGGAAGGTGGTATATAAAATAAAGCTTCATTATTGAACAGAATGCAGGTGGAGAAATAGCAATAGTGACTGATTATTGAATACTTTCTATGTGTGAAGCACTCAATATACTGTATGTTTAATATATATCATATATTTTCTTCACATATGTAGACATTTCTGTTCCTGACCAGGATGGACTAACAGGGACTGGATGTACCCTTCTTGGGTTAAACAACTAAAAAAAACTGGATGAAATACATAAAAACAACAGTTTTCAGAAACTGGACATCAAGCAATGAAGAAGTAATTCCTGAGAAAGGAAAAACAAATGAGGTCATCTCTACAGTTGTCCCAGATTACTGCCTCAAGAAAGAAATTACCAACTGCAGTGTACAGAGGCAAATCCTAATGGTCTCATTGAGTTAAGAAGACGAAGCTGGGAGCCTAGGGAGGCCCAGGTGGATAGAGTTGGTAGGGTAAAGTAACAGAGGAGAAAGACCTGCACATAAACTTCCAGAGGTCTGCAGAGAATCCCTCACGATTACTGATAAGCACACATGTGTGAGGAAACTAACCAAAGTTAGGGAAAGATATACCTAAAAGGAGCAGAGAAATCAATCCCCAGAGCTCACACAAATCCAGTAATAATTCAATTTCCCATCATCAAAGTGTAAGACTTCACAATGCCAGGGGCACTGGACAGAATACTCAGAAGAGTATTATTGCCTCAGCAGTGCAGATACTTAGCCTTACACTATAGGCTGCACTGGTTCCAACTGACAGTGCTTGAAAGCAAGTATTGAAAGGATCAAACTGTTTCCAAGTATCTTAACTACACACCAGAAAAAACGTCCAAAAATATTTATAGAAATACTGAAAGATTCAGCACTCAACAAGGTAAAATTCACACAATTTCTGGCATCTAATAACAAATCACCAGTCATGCAAAGAAGCAGAAAAATACCGCTCATTATGAAGAGAAAAAGCAATCAATTGAAATTTGCCCAGAAATGACACAGGTGATAGAATCAGTAGACAAGGATATTAAAATAGTTATTAGTTGTATCCTATTTGTTCATGAAACTAAAATAGACTGAACATACTAAGTAGAGATATCAAATATACAATAAAGACCCAACTATAACTTCTAGAGATAAAAAATACAATGTCTGGGATTAAAAATCATAGGGGTGGAATTAAAAGCAGGTTTGACTCTGCAGGACAAAGACAAGTGAACTTGAAGGCTTATCAATAGAAACAATGCAAAATGAAACAGAACAGGGAGGGAAAAAAATGAAAAAATGTGAACAGAATCAGAGAACTGAAAAACAACTTCAAGCTGCCTAATATGTATGTAATTGGATTCCACAAAGAATGGGAGTTAAAGAAAAAAATTCTGACGTAATAATGGCTGAAAATTTTTCAGATGTGACAAAAAACTATAAACCTACAGATTCAAGAATCTCAAAAAACCCAAGCTCAGGAAACATTATGAAAACTACACTAAGGCACATAGTAACCATGTTGCTTACAACCAATGTAAAAAGAGAAAATCTTAAAAGCAGCCAGAGGAGAATGACACATCATACACAGAGAAACATAATTAAAATTAAGGCAGACTTCTTTCTGAAAACAATGCAAGCCAAAAGACAATGGATCAATATTTTAAAATTACTGAACCACAAAAAGTTAATCTAAAAGTCTATACCTAGCAAAATAAAGATTTTTCAGAAACATAAAAGGTGATGGAAATATCACCATCTCACCAGCAGACATAATCTACAAGAAATATTAAAGCGGTCCTTCAAGCAGAAGGTAATTTGCCAAATGGAAATCTGAATCTACACAGAAATAAAGTACATTGAAAATGGTAAATATGTGGGTAAATACGAAAGACTATTTTTATTTTTTAAATATCTTTAAAATATTGACTATTCAAAGCAAAAATAATAAAAATTATCTTTAGATTTAACATATGTAGAAGTAATGTGTATGACAATAGCACAGAGGCTAGGAGAGAGAAACGGAAGTATGCTATTGTAAGATTCTCATCCCATGTGTGATGTGGCATAATATTACTTGAAGTAAGACTGTGATAAGTTGTATAGGGTTGCTATAACTACTAAAGCAACCACTAAAATATATTAAAACAAAAAAATTAAGAAGCCAATAAGGGATTTTAAATGAAATCATAAAAATTCTCAATAAATTAAAAGGAAAACAAGAAAAAGGGGAAACAGAATGATGAACAGGTGGTACAAACAAGAAACAAAGAGCATATCATATATTTAAACTCACTCACGTCAATAATCACATTAAACGTAGATGGTCTAAACACCCAAATTAAAAGGGAGAGATTGTCATACTGGATAAAAAAGCAAGACTCAACTGCATGCTGGCTACAAGAAATCCACTTTTAAATGAAGACAATACTTTAAAAGTGAAAGGATGGAAAATATATACCACAGTACCACTAATAAAAAGAAACCTGCAGGGCTATCAGACAAAGTAGATTTCAAAGCAAAGAATATTACAATGGATAAAGTGATTTTTATACAGTGATAAGGGTGTCAACTCAGTAGGAGGACATAATGACCTAAACATGTATAAAGCTAATAAAGCTAATAAAGCTTCAAAATACAGGGAAGCAAAACTAATAAAATTTCAGGAAGAATTTTAATCAGAGTTCTCAAAATCTCTCTCCCTCAATTAAGGGTAGAACACGTAAACCAAAAAAATCAGTAAGGATATTGAAGACATGGACAGCACTGTCAACCAACTTTACCTAGTTTACATTGATAGAACTTGCCAACCAACAAAAGAACTAGTAATTCAATAACAGAAAGATATCTTGAAAATCTGTAAATATTAGGAAATAACACTTGTAAATGACACACAGATCAAAGAAGAAATCAAAAGGGAAATTAGAAAGTATTTTGAAATGAATAAAAATGTAAACACCACATATTAAAATTTATGGAACACAGCTAAAGCAGTACTTAGAAGTAAATTTTATAGCACTAAAACCTATATTGAAAAAGGGGGTCTCAAATCAATGATCTCAGCTTTCACCTTAAGAAACTAGAAAAAGAAGGGCAACATAAACCCAAAGTATGCAGAAAAAAATGAAATAATAAGACTAAAAACAGAAATCAATAAAATAGAAAAAAGGAAAGCAATATTAAATTTGATGTTGTGTTTACATTCTCATAGCATAAATGAGAGGCGACATCACTAAATATTCTACAAATATTAAAAGATATGTATTATGAACAAATCTATGCCAATAGATTAAACAATTTAGATTAAATGCACTTAAACAAACCACAAAACTTAGATGAAATAGATAACCTCAATAGCCCTACACCTATTTTTAAAAATTGTATTTGTAGTTAAAAACCTTCCCCAAAAGAAAACTCCAAGCCCAGATGGTTTCATTAGTGAAGTCTTTCAAGTATTTAAAAAGTAATAATACCTACTGTACACAAATTCTTCCAGAAAATTATATAGAAGGTAATACTTCACAACTCATTCTATCAATATAAGGCTACAGTAATCAAGTAATCAAGATAGTCGCATAAAAAAATAGACAAATAGATCAATGGAACAGAACAGAGACTCCAGAAATAAATCTATATATATATATGGTCAACTTATTTTCAACAAAAGTGCCAAGGCAATTTAATGGGGAAAAAGATAATCTTTTCAGACAATGGCACTAGAACAATTGGAGAGCCATAAGCCAAAATATATACCATAAACGTCATCTCACCCTATTACAAAAATTACCTCAAAACGAATCATACACCTAAATTAAAAGCTAAAACTATAAAACTTCTAATGGAATGCATAGAAAAAAATCTTAGTAACATTGGGTTTTGCAAAACTTTCTTGAACGTAACATAAAAAGCATGCAATAGAAAAGAGGGGAGACCTTCAAGATGGTGGAGGAGTAAGACGTGGAGATCACCTTCCTCCCCACAAATACATCAG